TGTATTTCTTTTGTCTAATTTATGTTATATCTAGGCAAAACACAATTATAACTAACTATATTAAAAACTAATTCTACTCCAAAATCTAAAAATAATTTTATTTGAACTTGTTTTTTTCATATTCCCGCCAAATCAACTTCGAGAATATGAAATAATAATTAATCTTTCTATCTTTGCGAAACTGGGGCATATCACTATACTAAATGCATTAAAATATGAATGAATGAATAAATGGAAACTCTTTATTATTTCCTTCAAAGAATGATTCAGATTACAAAGATTAACAATAAGTAAACAAAAAAATTAATAAATATTTACATAAATTTAATTACACGAAAGCAAGAAAAAGAGGCAACAATGGACGGCCTTATAGCTAAATAGCGATGTCTTTCAGACAACCTTAATAATAAGTATATTACGTAAAAGTTGTTTATATAATTGAAAATAAATATTGAATGGTTTGTACATAACAATTACAGATAAAAATTAAAAATATTTTCTTGTGTATACTTTATAGGGCGTGATTATACAGTAGTCGGGTTTTAGTTTATGAACTTATTTTTTATTTAAAAGATTTTGTAATAATAATGTCCTGATGAAATATTTTTTCTTTTGGGTAGTTTTGAAGAGAAAATATTTTTGGCTCATATCTGAGATGTTTTTTTTAGTAATTATTCCCAATTATCGTATCCATGCAAGAAAAATCGTGAACTAGCAGTTAACAAAAAAAAAAATAGTGTTGGGTATGATATAAAAGGGCTTCTTGGAATAAAAAAATATACCTACTTATATCTCTACATATAAGTAAATTCACTTCCCGCCGTCGGTATGCTTAAATTTTCTGAACTACGCAACGGATTTTAATGCGGTTTTCATCAATAGATAAGAGTTATTCAAGAGGAAGTTTTATATATATAGTTTAATCTTATTTTTGTGCTAATATGTTAAAATATCACAATAATTGTTTGAGATTTCAAAAGAAATTAAGTCGATTTACATCTTTCACTAAAAACGCTGCCTAATCCATTTGTGATATAATATAAAAAGAAATATGGTGGTAGGTGGGATTGTCTCTCTTTTCTAGGGTTTACAAATAAGTTTGCAATAGCTTATGTCTATCTAATTTGTTCTCGACGTATGATTTAAAAAAATATAAATAGCTCTACTACCTGTGCGAAGCCGGGTGGATCGCAAGTACTTATACATAAATGTACAAGGTATGTAAAAATACATAAATGTATGTATGTATGTACCTTATACTGAGTAATGCATTGTTACAGATACAAAATTTTATGTGATTTTTTTTTTTAGTTTTCGGTAATATATTTTTTACCTATAAAAAATTATTGACCCTTTGAATAATGAACGAATGAGTGAATATTAACACTAGTTTTACGGAATGAGTTACGTTAATTAACATACTGTATATATGTACATTTTTGAATTTTATTCATTAAGCTCTTTCGTATGATATCCATATATCGCGTCACACGTCTTTTTTAGTTTATGAATTTATCGACTAGAAGGCGCAATCAATTTAAAAAAATGTGATGTTATATATCCAGTAACTAGCGGACGATAAAAATGATTGTAACTTATAAAATATATATAAATATAAACCTCATTTATAAAATTAAGATAAGTAGTTTAAAAGTTATGAGGGATAAAGCTATGATGAAGATACATACCGTACCCACATACATACGATATACAAAGTCAAAATCATAACCCTACTGTCTGCTTCGCCGTAGTCGTCACAAAAAAATGATTAAATTTCTTATATATCAAATTTACATATCTATATATAAAATTTATATGTTGACATATAAACACGTAGTCCTTAGGGAATTAATTTATGACTCCTTAATTTAGTCCAAGTCAGGGATATACCTACACCTAAGAAATATAATTTGATCCATACCTACATGAATTTTAGTGGTACCATAAATCAGTTTATATAACATTTGCCTACCTAATGTGATTAAGTACCCGAATCATAGAATACATAATATGTATTCTATGACTTATATATTATCTCCATTAATATCTTACATGCTGGCGATTTTATTTGTTTTCTCTTATTTCGTTAAATTTATTCTAATTATACGACTAGTATAATAATGAGTAGACATTTTCTTAGATTGACATGAAATATTTATAAGTAAAAAGGCATCTAAAAATGGCGTGGCGTTTTAATAAAAGCTCTTTCAGACCGCTAGTTCCGATTGTTCTACCTTCAAAGTTTGAATAGTTCAATATTGGTACTCATGGGTTGTTTGTTCTGTCATGGAGAGTTAGTTTGATTTGTCGGTCTCGTCTTAATATAGAATATTATGTTCCTTCTAGGAAAATAGATATAGGAAAGTCTTCAATCTATATCTCCCTAAAGAACAAAATTTTAAATTTTTTTGTGAAAATTAAATGGTAGGCTTCATGCAGAGTCAAAAATATGCTTTTTATAATTTAAAATATCACACAAGTTAAATTTCAGGACCGCACTTTAACTGGGGCGTCAGGAAAGTATCAGTTAACAAACTTACGTACATGAATTGACTATTAATAAAATATTTATTGTTAGTTGCCATTAGGAGAACATGACAATAATTAAGCTAATTATATTGTCCACTGCTGAATAACTAGACAAATAACAATAATGAACAATATTAATATTTCTAAAGGCCTGCATCTATACAGGATCCTCTAGGATGGACATTTAGTTCACTGATAAAATTTGTTATTGTGTACGTCGTGTACGTGCACAACACATGTGCTATATAGGATGTATTTTTAAAGATTTTATTGTTACCGGACTAAAATTTGGGGGAATATTGTCTCTTATCAGATTTGAAAATATCAGAAAATGATGAAAACGTAAAGGAATGCTTTGTTTCCGGACATTCACATCTAGTTTGTACAAAAGTCGATTGCTTGGGTACCTCTGTCTCATTCGTGTTTCAACCGTGAAGCAGTTGTGTTTGCATGGCTGTGTTTCGGTTTGAAGGGTGGGATATGGCGTGAATTTACTGGGTACAGAGCAATAACACCTGAGTCCTCAGGAATGGCAACGCATGGGGGGGTATCATGGGCGAAACAGTATATTCTGTTATGTCCATGGTACTGCTTATGTTTATAGGCGACGGTTACCACTTTCCATCAGGTGGGCCGTCAGCTTTAGAGATGGGATTTTACCCGGAAAAAACTCCAATGTGGGAAAAAATAGGGAAAAAACCCGGGGAAAATTCCCGAATGGGAAAATATTCGGGTTTTTTCATATTTAGCATATGTAACATCTAGGTAATGTGTAGATACATGTATATATCAAATGATACATACTATTTAAGTACTATTAGTACTAGTTAGAGCTAATCTAACTTTATTTACTTTCATAATTCAATAAATACTTTATATACATGTACTCCATGCTATCTAATTAAATTAAATTAAATTAAATAAAAAACCTTTCTGTTTGTGTGTAGCGACAAGTAACCCGAAACTACGTATGCGGGTAGGGGGCCGGGGTAGCAGGTAATAGCAGTGGCGTACGCGTATCTGTCTATCTCACACGTTGTTTTGGCTTCGTACTGTTCGCACTTGCTTTAATTTGTTGGTTTAATTGACGACTTGGATTTTGTTTTGTGGACTTTTGATTTCCTAGTGATTAAATACGTTTTTTACTTTGTATTGACAACTACTGCTACTCTTACGGACTTCGATACCTACTTCTTTTTATGAACGGTAATTTACCGGTAAGTTTAAGCTTTAATAATTGTTATATTAGACTATAAAAGTTTTAGGTACTATATTTGTGGATTCCTTGCAAACCTTGTACTTTTATTCATTGAAATTGATATATTTTCCAAGTTTATTTACTGTAGGAAATAAATATTTTACAAAAGTAGAAATGAGTCATGTATAGAAATGGCCAAACGCTCGGGCGTTTTAGGCAAATTGGGCAAAATATAAATTCCTTCTTTTGGCCATTTATATTTATTTCATATTAGTTCCGAATGTTCACCTACTCTGTAAATATACAATACTTTAGAACAACTCTATGCATTTCTACTGTTTTTACATTTTTTTTTTCCTTAGATCACATCATGCCCAGAAAGAAAAATACTGATGTATGGGAAAACTATTTTCATTCGGCAACCAGTAAAACAGTAAAATGCAAACACTGTGATAAAGTTTACCAATTCGGCAATGTTAGCAAGATGACCAGCCATCTGTTGAAATGTTATAGATGTCCAACTGTTATCAAAAACAAACTACAGAAAATACCTGTTACTAGCACAACTGCCACAAATCTGCCCTTGCAAGAGGAATCACATCATGAATTGTCACAGGATAAAAGTTTGACGGATACAATTTCTATTATTACGACTTCATCAGAAATTTCAACAGAAAGAAAACTTTATCTAGATCAGCTCTTATCGAAGGCAATATTTGTTAGCGGTTCTCCTTTATCCATCGTTGAACATCCGCTGTGGGTACGATTTTTTGACGATTTGCAACCACTTTATAAGTTACCATCTAGAAAAGCTATCTCCACAACACATTTGGAAACTATTTATAATGAAATGGCCAATGAAATTACAGACGAACTGAAGTCTATAAATGATTTGCATTTGCAATGTGATGGCTGGAGTAATCAGCGCAATGAAGGCATCATCAACTTCATTATTGCAAAACCCGAGCCTGTTTTTATTAAAAGCCTTAATACTCTTACAAACCGACATACAAGCCAATATGTATCTCAAGAAATAATCAAAGTTATAAAAGTGTATGGAGGCCACAAATTTGTAACTCTTATCGGAGATAACGCAAATAATATTCAAAGAGCATTTCAGATAGTTAAAAATTCATATGCACATATAATACCGCTGAGATGTGTAGCGCATACATTGAATTTGCTTTGCGAAGATTGCTTAAAACTAGAGCCTATTAATGCGTTCATATCGATTGCCACAGATACGATAAAAGCAATAAAAAGAAACCAAAGTATGAGTGCTTTATTAGCTCAGATTGTAAAAGAAAAAGGTTCAGGTGAAACATTAAAATTGCCAGGGAAAACCCGCTGGGGCAGTTACTGCACTGCGTTAAAAAGTTTAAAAAAATCCAAAGTTGCATTACAGACTTTAGCTGTTCACGAAGATGCCACTATTTTAGACGAAATAAAATCAAATTTATTGGATTTAAATTTTTGGACCATGGTAGAAAATTGTATAAAGCTACTGGAACCTATAACAGACAAAATTTTCAAACTGGAAGGCAATGAAATACTTATAAATGAAGTTTACATGGCTTTCAAAGATATTAAGTCTACATTAAATTTTGCATTTCCAGATATATCTGTTCTAAATGAGCATCATAAACAACATATTACAAATGCTGTAATTAGGCGAGCAGATAACTGTTTGAAACCCATTCATTATGCTGCATATTTATTAGATCCAAGATCGCAAGGCATTGAATTAGAAGAAGAACACGAGGTGGATGCAATGGAATTTATACACGACGTGAGCCAATCGCTCAATATTGACGTTGGTGTAGATTTAGCCAATTATAGAGCTAAACAGGGTTTATGGAGCAGACCATTTATATGGAAGAATGTCGCTGAAATTGACCCGGTAGTTTGGTGGAGAGGACTCTGCAAGTCCAAATTGCTTAGTAGGGTTGCAGTACGTATTCTTACTGCTCCCTGTACTTCAGCAGCCACTGAACGATCTTTTAGCACGCATGCGCATATACATAGTCATAAACGAAATAGATTGACTACAGACAGGGCAGCAAAAATAGCTTTTATATCGTATAATTGGAACCTGTTACACAAACATAAAAATGATGACAATGACGATGATGACGAGACGTTATCTACGCCCAGGCAATTATCAAGTCCGTTGGGTAGCCCAATAAATGAAGAACAACCTTCAACATCTCGTGGATATACACAAGAAATAGAATTTTGTAATATTAATAATATATTTAATGACAATGACAGTAGCGACAATGACTAAAAATTTTCAATTGTAAAAAACTTTACAAAAGTGTTGTAACTTTTATAAAGTGTAATAAATAATTGTTAGTAAGTATCTCTCTTTGTTTTATTTTTTTTTTTTTGGTCAAATATTCTTAAAAGCTTTAATAGAGATTCTTTCTGCAATTAAGTAACATTCCATCACAATGCGCAAAAAAATCTTATGATAAAACAAGAAGACGTCTTTTTGTTGTTATAAAAAACTGCTGGTTTTATTCTAGTTTCTGAATCAGGCTACACATTTTGACGTTTCGAACAACAGTCAATAGCTAGTGCCTTATACGCTGGCACAAAATACGAGTATGTACGCATCACAATCTACCTATTTTTCGCTGCATTTGTTTTAAACATAAAAAAATATATAATTTTTTTTAAGATCGTGATAATTACGGTAAATAATGAAAATACCCGTCTATTGGGTTTTTTCCCATATAAATACCCGGTTTTTTCCCAAATGGGAAAAAACCTGGGTATATTCCCGTTGGGTTTTTTCCCACTGCCCATCTCTAGTCAGCTTGTTTGCCATTCTAAGTTGTATAAAAAAAAAAAAAAAAAAAAATAGTATTGACAAATAAGTTTTTTTTCTCTACGTTTATTATACACGTCGGACAAATTTATTGTTTACCTACCACTTGGAGAGTAAACTACTGTTTTTTAAAAGAAAGGAAAAATTTATTCTGTAGAGTGTCCTCTCTCTCTCTCTTTCTATATATAATTAATTCTAATATTAGGTTTACAATTGCTAAAGAAAAAATTAAGCGATTTTCTGTGTTTTTACCAATTTTTATTATTAGGTAAAAATTTAGTGCTATAACGAATTTTAATCTTACTATTAAATTTAAAAGACCAGCGCAGACGGACACAGTTTTGTGCATAAGAGGATTATGGTTCTAATTAGCTTCAATTAAAACCTACTCCAATGCTTTTAGTATTTAAAATGTACAATCTTTTTATGATCTATTTATAGGTACAGAATTTCAATAACACAATTTGATAGCTCCATTATGTAAAATACTAAAATCATTATTTTCATAACAAATATTGTGTACAGTGAATGACTCAATATGATCATGACTATGATAAGAGGAAATAAGAGATATTTTAAGCAATTTCCAAACACGTTTTCTCTTATACTGCTAAGGTATCTTTCCTGTTAATAAGAAATTACTCTAGCCTATGACTCTTGCGATAATACTAGATGAATTGAGTGCGTGTTGTCGACCCTGAAGAAACGTTGTTACCTTTAATAAAGAACTCAATGCTGTACTCTATTGTATATATCGACAGGAAACTCTTTCCATAATCCAAGTGTTTAATTTAAGATTGATTGTCAAGTCGTAGATATTTTTATGTAATGCATCTACACTAATATTATAAAAAGGAAAACTTTGTTTGTTTGGTTGTAATGAATAAAAAACTACTGGACGGTTTTGAAAAATTCTTTCACCATTCGAAAGCTACAATTATCCACGAGTAACATAGGCTAAATTTTATTTAAAAAAAAAAGTAGGGTTCCGCAAAATATTTGGGTTTATCGGACACAAGGTGTAAAAAATCAACCAGAAAAGTTACTTATTTTGCGTACGCTGCCTAAACTATAAAAAATAAAACCATAAAATGTTTTAATTAATTGTAGATCTTATAATTATCTACAAAAAAAGTCCGCGACACACTATACCTATCTATGTCGAGTGAGGCACAACAACCATTTTTTTATTTAAAAATCTTGAATTTTTTGGACTACATTTATTTTACTCATGCTATTAATCCTTATCAAAATAATTATTTCATCACTAAGTACAGTTTATGTAGATAATATTTGGTCTTTGAATGATTAAAATTGGACGTTTTGTTTAGAAGTTATGGCGAAATTAAAATATTACGATTTTTTTTATACAACTTAGTTGTGTTTGCATGGCTGTGTTTCGGTTTGAAGGGTGGGATATGGTGTGAATTTACTGGGTACAGAGGAATAACACCTGAGTCCTCAGGAATGGCAACGCATGAGAGGTATCATGGGCGAAACAGTATACTCTGTTATGTCCATGGTACTGCTCATGTCTATAGGCGACAGTAACCACTTTTCATCAGGTGGACCGTCAGCTTATTTGCCATTCTAAGTTGTATAAAAAAAAATATTAACTGGAAATAATATTTATTTGCAAAAAATATCAATTTACAATATCTATATTTCTTTGAAAAAACCCTTTCACATCAGTATACATTCAGGAACAGAGACGCCCATTTAGTTTTGTCCGCCGTAGTTTAAGTCGAGGAGGGACGTGTATGCATTCTACATATCACTATGCAGGATTCTATTGTTACATTGCGCAGTGCGTGTTTCCGACTACTTTAGCGGTAGCTACCTACATTATGTATGTAATGTATTTTTTTTCTATAGGTAGCAAAAGCGATAATTAAATTAGTCACTTAAAGCGCTGTGCTACTACTAGTAGGTATAGTGCTTATCCATTACATTACTTGCAAAAGTACTGACTCAACGTATATTAAAAACTTGATTATAACAAAATTTTAGTAATACATTTTTTTCTTCAAACTTACTATGTATACACATTATAAATTGCACCTTCTTCTACCATAACATAGGTCATAATATACCTTATAAATATTTTATTTTACAACAAAAAACATTCGACAAAACACTATTAAATGTATTTGTTGTGTGAATTTCTGAACTTGTCTAAGATTTTTATTATGCCTGTCTTCATTCCCAATACTCGTGCATTATGAAATTTGAATGATTAGTTGAACCGGTAATACTATGAAGTAATTGCAAACATACTTGATATATTATATATAATTAATTTCATTATGCCAAATCTACCACATCAAAGGAATAATCACTTGTCAACCACATCCATTGACTGGATATAGCCAACTTGTAATATCTCTATATCTCTTATAGCATAGGCCGCTTATTACCTGTACTGATAGTAATTACTAATAATCGATTATAAATTAATTTAGATTATTTACTCAAAAGAATTATTGCTGCCTTATTGTTTCCTGAAAAATACAATCTTGGATTCTTTAAGTAAATACTGAAAATAATCTACGTCACTTTTTATCAAATGAAGCAAGTCTAAGTTAGAACCTACCGTCCAATAAAAAAAGTACGGATATTTACGAAATTTACCGTAATTTAATTGATAAATATAAATAATAAACAACTATACGTATAAAATCAATGCCGTATGTAATGTTATCGATAAAGTCTATAGCAACTTTAAAAAATATCGATTAAATTGTTACATCTTCACTTGACATTGTCGCAGTCAACTGTAATCAAATTTCAATTATACAATCAATTATTAAATTATCTAACTATCAGTTAATCGAGTCCTATCTATATTAGGGTACACTAGTGTCTATGCTTATTTTAAACATAATATAATTGTGGCTGCACAGTCAGGTCTTCCAATCTACTATGATATAATATTGCATAACTATAACAATGCATTATTTAAATGTGAAAAGTAACATGAATATGCTTTAAAATATACGGTGTACAAATAGGTAAGTAAGATAAGAGAAAGCGGGTAACAACCACAGATCGCATTCTTAATTTAATAACTACTTTTCGTTGGGAGAATATTTTAATTGTAAAACTAAAATAAACAACAACAACTATTATAAACTGCTATTTCAACTAGCATCATGGCAATATAGTCATACATAACTATTTTTTCCAGTTTTTCAAATTTGTGATTAAATACGATATTAGTCATGAATTAATTTACATAAGAATAGTGTTTTCTACAAATTCTAGTAAATGTATATACGAAAAGTTATATAGAAAATATTTATTTATTGTTAGCATTTAAAACGTACTGTGATCCGATTTAGAAATAACTTTCTATCACCTTGATATTGTGCCATATTATTTCGTTTATCATTTTAATGTCTTAATAATATAATAATAATCATTTTTCATTATATACTCTTTTTAGACTAGCTTTTGCCCACAACTTCGTATGCGTGGATTTTGGAAATAGGTTATTTCTGTACTCGTATTTTTAAAGCAAACAAGCAGACCACCTACCTGATGGAAAGTGGTAACCCTCACTTATAGATATGAACAGAACCGTCCATGGTTCTGTTCATATCTATAAGTGACGGTATAACAGAGAATACTGTTTCGCCCATGATATCCCCCATGCGTTGCCATTCCTAAGGACTCAGGTGTTATTCCTCTGTACTCTGTAAATTCAGTGCCATATCCCACCCTTCAAACCGAAACATAGCCATGCAAACATCACTAGAATCACGAATGGGACAGAGGTGCCCAAGCAAATGTCTTTTGTACAAAGTCTCCCTCTAGTGATTAAAAAATATACCAGATTTTAAGCTAAACCTTGAAGAACATATATAATATAATAACAGTGAACTTCAATTTGGTGCAACAGTTTTTGTTCGTGATACCGGTTTTTTACGTAAAGGCAAAGTGTCTTCTCTGTGTATAAATATACGAACCTAACATCAGATCAGTCAGTCAGTTTCGTCAAACATGAAATTTCATAAGATTCCTTACAATATTACGTACTACATATGTAAGAACTTGGAAAGAATTTCTCTAAATTTCCACGGGGACAGGATATAACGAAATCCACGCCGACGAAACGCGAATATAAACAGCCAGTTATTAAAAAAAATGTGGAGATCCATATATAGTAGAATTCATTTATTATGTTTTTTAATGAATAAATATATTTTTTAATAAACTAGGTATCCACCCCGGTTTCGCTTGGGTTTATTTTTTCTCTATTTCCTAAGACTTTTCATACATTTTCTTTCATACAAGCCTTGTATGAAAACACATATTACATACATTGTAAAAGAATTAGCCACATAGGTGCGACCGTACTTAAGTGTTGCAATTCTGTTATAAATAAATCCATATAAATATTAAATCTAATAATAATAACGAAAGTAGAACTTTTTAAAGAAATATAACTTACA